CTACATGTACTCAGCATAGGCAATAGTGTTACCTCATTGTAAGAACTAATTGGAGAGGAGCAACCCTACATATTTCCCTTTGCTCTTCCACAAGCGAAGATTTAGAGTAAAGCTAGCTTATTCAGCTTTACAAGTTACACAGTAAAAATGTTACTCCATAGACTTAGTGAAGGAACTTCACAACTTATCTTTCTCAAGAGTCTAACAGATCCACTTCAAACTGCAGAATTTATATCATTCAGTATCAGTTTTGCTGATAAATACACTAAAGGAACATAATTAATTCTGGATGCAAATTCAGTGGATGCTGTTTGGGTAGAAGGCAGTAAATATGTATCAGAGCCCAAATGATAAATGTCAAGTTGTTCAGATGATTAGAAATACATCTTCAGAGCTTGAATTTAAAAACTAGATGAAAAAGGCTACCTTAACCCAGTATTTAATTTAGAGATTATTTCCAGTGACAAATAAATTATTTATTAGTAGGAACTGATTTTTCACAAGAGAAGATTTGGTAACGTTTGAGCAAAGAGCATGATATTCTATATTTGCCTTTACTTGGACAGAAAAATGTAAGTTGTTTTAAAGAAAATACACAAGAATTAACTCATCCAGTTAGAAAGAAAGAAAAGTGAACTTATTTTTGATAAGAAGTTCGTATTTCAAGTAAATACTTTAATACTAGGTAAGATCAAATGTATTGGACATTTAAAGAGATTATTTTATTCAGTCTATTGGAATAGGGACAACATTCATTGAGGAACATCTCAAAGAAGAAGGAGGAATCTGAGATTTCATAGGGGCAGACAAACAAAGGGATCATCCGCTTATCTTATTGGATTTGAAAATTATGTTAAAGTTGGCATGTTATGAAATAGAATTATTATTGCAATAAAGTTTGTGAGAATAATTACTGAATTTTATTAAACACAAATTTGTACACTTTAATAATCTTAAATATTTAACAAAATCAATGCTAGCTTTTCAGTTACCAAACCTGTATAAGTTTAGAAAGAACATGCCCATGTAGGGTAAAAATGTAGTGTTATATTTAATATTTAAAATTATTACATGAGAGAAAACATAGCTGGTTTTACTAAACCAAAAATATTAAACTAATTTTGCTTGACAAACATGTACTTAAATTCTGTAAATGTGAATTTTTTAAATGTTTCTAAGTGAAGTTCTATGTTAATTTTCTTTTGGTACATTGAAAATACTAGAAGTTAAATTTTCTTTTTTTTTTCCTAGGATTTTTTAAAGGAATATTCAATGTATGTAAGTACTTATTTTTATCTAAACCAACTAGAATAGACCTCCTTTATGAGATTTTATAATCTACCTTGGTAATTCCATCTAGAGGCTGGAAAATATTACATGTACAATGAGGTAATTTTTTTTTTATTTATAGACATGTAAACATGCAGAGAGACACAGATAGAAAGTTTATAGCTGCAATTGTAAAATTTCATCCTGGGTCAAACACAAAAACAGAAATACAAAACTTACCAGTCCAAGTATATACTTCCTAGATGACATAACATTTTTTAATTGATTTGAGCCCAAATAGATAAACAGAAGTGTCTAACAAACCAGATTCTTTGTCATTATTCACGCAATAGAGATGAGAGTTCTCCAAATCCATTCATTTACAGAGAGCAGGAAATGATCAGAGTGTAAATCTAAGAGAAATTGGCATCTGAAATAAGTGGGCACACAAAAATAATCAAAATCAAATCCTGACTAGTGCTAAAAAGAGACAAGAGTCTGGGATGCAGGATCGGGAGCTGGAATCACCACTGGGTCTCTGAATTGCCAGTCAGGAATGGATAGAACACAATGGGTGTTATCTGGGTGGAGGTAACAGGGATTCAAAGGTGAGGTACAATATCATTCGAATCATGGCACCAAAACTATAAAAGAAAACACACTGGACATTTGAAGAGGTGATTTTATTCATAGGTAATAGGAACAACAATTATAAATGTGGAACGAGTTAAAGAAAAAAGGAGACCTAGGATTTGATAAAAGCAGGTAAGCAATGAAGTCATCAGCTAGTCTTGAGCAGGGAAGGAAATGGCTTTTACCTAAGTAACTGGGGTAGGGTAGATGTGGGTCTTATCTCAGAGTATGCAAATGTTGATTTTCCTTTGCAGTCAACATTTCTTGGAACACAAAACAAAAGGTAGAGTTTTCTCTACCTTTGCTCCTTTCCAGTAACATAAGGCTCAGATAAAGTTAAATATGATTGATATCTTCTCATATTTGCAAATCAGTTCCTCTAAAACTTTATTTATTTATTTATTTGAGACTGAGTCTCACTCTGTCACCGAGGCTAGAGTGCAGTGGTGCCATCTCGGCTCACTACAACCTCTGCTTCTCGGGTTCAAGTGATTCTCGTGCCTCAGCCTCCTAAGTAGCTAGGATTACAGGAGCCAGTCACCACTCCTGGCTAAGTTTCATATTTTTAGTAGAGAAGAGGTTTCACCATGTTGGCCTGACTGGTCTTGAATTCCAGACCTCAGGTCATCCACCTACTTCGGCCTCCCAAAGTGCTGGAATTGCAAGCATGAGCCAGCGCGCCCGGCCCAATTTTTCTTTTTAGGAAAAAATACACTTATGATTTAGAAAGGTAAATTGGAGAGAAATGGAGAGATTTGGGGTAGCTATAAGAATTACAGCTTTTTAGATGTTTTATTTATTTTGTGGATATTTCCATTATTAATTGGAAATTTTTATTTTTTAAAAATAAAGTTTGCATTGCTATTTTCTCTGATTATACAAGTAATACTTACTGTAGTATGGAGCTAACTACAAGAGTGAAAAAAAAAAACAAAAAAAAAACAGGCACTCATGTTCCCAGTATGCAACAATAGTGAATTTAACATATTTCAGTTTTTCCTATAAAATTTGTAGAATTGTTTTTCTATTATTAACCTTTATGTCTTATTCCAAATTTTCTATCTAAAAGTAGTAAACGCCATTATGCAAAAAAATGCTAAAACATTTTGTGTCGTTTCCCAAAATTAGTAATCCCATCTGAAATATTTTTTTAAATATTTGCAAATGAGTTCCTCTAAAACCTTGATTTTTCTTTTTAGTAAATCAAAGCTACTCCATCTAAAATAAATTCATTTCCCCTGCATTATCTCCCACTACTCCTTACGTATTTTTTTCTTACCATTTACTAAAATCACTGCCAATATTTGGATGTGTTTTCTTTCATGGTTATTGTTCTACTGAAGACACAATTTTTCAGGAAATGTCGGTATTTTATATTTATTCTGAAAAAGCATTTGAAAAATGAGATTATGCTACCAAAAGAATTAGACCTTAAAATAAGAATACATATTTTCTTACAGTCCATTGTATAAATTTGAAAAGTATGCAATATAGTAAAATATAAAAATTCGTTTGCAATACATTTGTTACCAGCTGATCTCCTGCAGGAGAACTTCCTTGACCTCTCCGCCTAAAATAAGTCCTTTTCCTTGTATTATCTCTCACTTCTCCTTATTTGTTTCTTTCTTATATTTACCAAAATTACTGCCAACATTTGGGTGTTGATAAAAGGAAAACTTCCGCCAAATTAAATTGAAAGGAGTTTAATGGAGCAATGAACGATTTGTGAATGGAGCAGCCCCCAGAATCACAGCAGATTCACAGAAGCTCCCGCGCAGCCACGTGGGGGAAGAAGATTTATAGACAAAAAAGGGGAAATGATGTACGGAAATCTACAGTGAGGTGCAGAAACAGCTGGATTGGTTACAGGTTGCCATTTGCCTTATTTGAACACGGTTTGAACACTTAGCTGTCTATGAGTGGTTGAAGTACGGTCGCTGGGGTAGGCCAAACCTCAGTTATTGTCACAGGCACATACTCCTAAGTTAGGTTTTCAATGTCGTCTGACTATTTAAGCTAGGTTAGTTCATCCACAAGGACTCAAATATAGAAACACGGAGTCCTTCTCAGGCCATATTTACTTGAACAGTGTATTGCCTTTAATGCTTATTGTTCTACTTAAGATACACTTTATTTTGAGGAAACTTTGGTATTTTATATTTATTTTAAAAACTATTCTTTTCATTTAGGTTGTCAAATTAACCAGCATATATGAATATATCTAATTTTACCATGTCCTCTGCCTTACTGTTTTAATCAGATTTCTGTGATTTTCTCCTTTTTTTTTTTTTTTTTTTTTTTTTGAGATGATTTTGCTTTACTATGAGATAGTTTTCCTAAATGGTTCATTATTGCTTTGGACAGAATTGTTCTTTTTCTTGAAAAACATTTAAAATTCATTAGTTCGCTTTCAATTTCGCATTTTTCTTGTATATAAATTTGTGTCTAACAATTTATGTAAATTCTGGGTTTGTAACCTTCAAGGTGGATATTGTTGCATAGTTTACTAACAACTCATCTTTATTTCACCTCTTTTCCTTTTCAGTCAGTCTATGTAATATAAATTTTGGATTGATTCTTTCCTTTTTTTTTTTTTTTTTTTTTTTGGAGATGGAGTCTTGTTCTCTAGCCCAGGCTGGAGGACAGTGGTACCATCTCGGCTCACTGCAAACTCCGCCTTCCGGGTTCAAGAGAGTCCCCTGCCTCAGTCTCCTAAGTAGCTGGGAATACAGGCGCATGCCACCAAGCCCGGCTAATTTTTGTAGTTTTAGTAGAGATAGGGTTTTACCGTGTTAACCAGGATGGTCTTCATCTCCTGCCCACCTCGTGATCTGCCCTCCTCGGCCTCCCAAAGTGCTGGGATTACAGGCGTGAGCCACCGCGCCCGGGCGACCCTCTCCCTTTTTCAAAAAAGAAGTCCATGTTACTCAAAATGCTTAGAGGCTTCAATATTTCCTCTGTTGCCTGAAGCAGATTATTTTCAGTCTGGTTTTTTGAATATTCAAAATGATATTTCCTATTTCCCTGTTTATTAGCTTTCAATATTTATTCACTCAGTTAATTATTATTTTTCTGTTACTCATGCGCGAACAAAGATATTCATTTAGACTCAGTGTTTATTTGTTAAGAAATACGTTGTTTGATTGTTTTGTCCTTACTTATTCCCTCGGCTTAAGTCAAACCCTCTTCTGAGATACACACTGGGCAGAGATAGCACCTAATCAGATTTTCAATGCTAGAATCTATTACTGCTTGATAGAAGCTGACATCCTCTTCATTCTCCAGTTCCTGGGTGCCTGAAAGACAAGAGTAGGTAAAACCTCTGGAAAAATAGAATTATACATGGTGTCTTTGAGCACCTGTACTTGCTTTAAGATTGCCATACTTTAGATGTTCTATGAACAGTCCTGTCTCCATCTCCCTATTCCTTGTGAGGTTTTTTCTGGATGTAGTAGTTTGTCTACATGTAGGGAAAGAGGCACTTTTACAGTTTGAACAAGAGTATTTAAGAGCACCCGTAAAATAATTTAGTTACAAAATTTGTAGTTTTCTGTAGCTCTTGTGTTTCTAAATTAAAGAGAGGCCAGTTGAGAAAGAGGCAGCTTCTCCCTACACATTTCATATGGGCTTGTGCTGTTTCTTTTAGTGTAGCATGAGGTAACTGATCAGTTGAAATTTATGGAAATTATTTGTGTTCATTTTTATCAACCTTACTATTAGTTTGATTTTCTTCAAGATTATCAAAATTGATTGACTGTTGGTCCTAATTTTCAACGTGTGTGTGTGTGTGCTTGTGTGTATATCTGTGTGTGTTTTTCTTTTTTTATCCTGTCTTAGTAATTGTTTTGGTAGGAATTTAGCAAAGGGAGCCAGTGGATGCTGGCCAGATGCCACATTAAACTTAAATTTCCAGGCACTAAGTTTTAAAGTCTAAAGTAACCATTGCCAAATTCCTTTCACAAATATTCTCCCTGCCATACAACTCAACCAGTGATATGTTGATGGGGCTGATACTACCATCTTTTGGTTTTACTAATTTTATCTGTGAAATAGTAATTTAGTTTTGAGTTTTTCATACATGTGTGTCTAGCCTAGTGGGATTAGACATTGTAACAATACTAAATCGATTTTCCTTGTTTTTATTATATGTTAAGGCATAGTAACTGATGATATAAAAGGACACAGTTCTTAATAATTTCTTAGAGGAAATGTGACCAGACATCTCTCAAAGTTGTCTATAATGTGTTGTATGAATTCCATAAATAAGGTACAAGAAGAGATCAGAGGACACTGGAGGTCTTAGAGAAGACTTCAAAAAAGCATATTATCAGAACACGGCACTGCAAAAGTGGTAGGATTATAAAATGGATTGTCAAAGGCATTTCAAGGGAAAAAACTGCTGTGAGCAAATTTTTAGAGTTTAGATAATGCAAGCCATTCTCATATCTGGATACTGAGTTGTTTAAAAGAAATAAGGGAGATGCCAGAAAATGTGAACAACAATGTTTTGTGACTAGATAATTGTATTGGAGAAATAGTTACAGATAAGCTTGTAAATACAGAACTGAATAGATTCTGGATGATATTTAATTTGGATTTTTTTATAGACATATGCCAGTAAAGTGTTCAACTAAGCTATATAACCAAAGATATAAAAGTGTAATTCTAGAACAAGGGTAAGGAGCCAGCTAACTAGGGATCAAATGGAAGTAAAGGGACCATTCAAAGGATATTTCATGATCAAGGTATAATGTTAAAAAATAAAGCACCTAAATTAATAAAATAGGTGAATTGGAAAGAAAAAAATGAGTGCAGGAAGTATTTTTAAGCAAGAAGCAACAAGATATTGAACATAATTGGATGTGGGGAAAAATACAGGGTGCTGTAGGCTTCAAACCTAGATATGTAGAAGTGCAGTGGTGCAATTAGCAAAATAAATAAAAAATTGAGGTTATATGAAAATAGATTTACATTTTATATATAATCAATTCCTTTATTATTGTGCTTGGAAATAAGTTAATTTAGTTAAATTGGGAAATATTCAATAGAGCTGTCCAATTGTTGATGAATGAATGCAACCATCATTTTAAATATTTTCATTGTCTATGTTGGAAATAAATATATAGTAATGATTATGTGACATTTAAAGTTGTCATTTAATAAATTACTAAGTGTTGGGCATAAATATTTGTTCATAGCTCTATAAAACAGATATATAATATTTTTTAAATAATTGTGTTCTGTTGACATTCAAAACTATTAAAAAAGTGAAATGGAATTTTATTCAAGGTAGAAAAAATAATTTCTTATTTTCAGGTCGTAGAAAATACTAGCGGCTATGCTCCCTGTTAAGTATTTCAGTGACAAAAGTAAAAATAAACAGGCCACACTCTGTTAACACTATGTTTTATTATCGTAAATAGAATTATGTGCAACTTTTCCCAGTTTCTTTTTTCGTCTTTAACTTTTTCATTTGTTATGTTTTAGATTTCACACCTACCGAGTGTGAGGAACTTAGATCAAAACTAGAGTGATCAAATTAACTTTATTTTGGCAAAGATGTATATTTACATGGTGTTTTGTTCTGAAATGAATACAAATTGAAAAACAAATACTCATTTTTTTATGATCTCTGATTTGTGGAAAGTAAAAATTACCTCAGAATAAAATTAATTAGTCACCTGCCTAGATGAATAATTCTGAGTTGTAAACATCATTTTCCTAATATGCTTTTTCCTAGGTATTGAGTGGAATAAAATAACATGTTGGTACTGCCATTAGCGTATGTATATTAGTTAATTAACTTTATAGTTCTTTATGGGTAAAATGAGAAAAATATAGATTCACCTTTATAAATTAAATTTAGTATAAATGTAATACATTAAATATTATTTTTCAACTTCGATAATTTTAATATATACATAAATATATATAATTACACTTTAAAATATATTTTCCTCTAGGAAAATGGTAAAAAATTGCTATTACCTAAGCATCTCCTATACTATTAAGCAAGTGAGTGTGTCTAACAAGCATTTTAGAAGTATTACCATGTATTACAAACTAGAAAATACAAAGAGTAGGAAGACTGTACTTGATATTGGAGGGCTTGTGGAAAAGTGCAGAGAAATGTTTAATGAAATTAATGAACTGTGTGTTAAAAGTGCTATAGAGGTATAAGCTGGGAGACATGGCAATAGAAATGCATAACATTTCTGAAGTTTGAGAAATGTCAACATGGCATTTACATTTGACTGGTCTTGAGGTTGAGCAAATGTGGAAGAAGTAATGTCATGTGGCCCCTGAACCATCTTCATTACCCACACCGTCTCACTGTCACATAGGAAGAACCCACTTGCCAGACTCTTAGCAACTAGATGTGTCTGTGTGACTAGATCTAGTGGTGGCATGTGAGCTGGAGTCATTTAGGCCACTTCCAGACCTGGTCTTTAAAAGTCTCACAGTCTTCTTTTGTGTTTGCTCTTTTCTTGGACAGCTGGAAGCGAAGGCCTCGCCTATGGTGCATTACACAATGTAAGCAAATTGTATTCTTAAGCCTGTAGTAAGACTATTGCTGTCTACCAGAATCTCTCCACCTGACTAGAGCGGGGAGGAAGACATGAGTGTGTGATGTATTAGGGCACTGAGCTATTGTTTACAGCCACTATCATCTATTTTGTTTTTAATCTTCCTCTTCTTCTGTTTTATTTTAAAGATATCTTTGAGGTAGAATTGGCAAGACTTTGTGACAGATGAGATATGATGGAGGAAATAAAATAAAGGAAAAACATTAATGCAAGTTTTTGTTTTAGGACAGTCAACATCATAAACTGAAATAAGGCATTGAAAAACTAGGACAAATACTTCCTTGTGAGTGGCAGAAGCTGGTAGAGATGGAGATTGTGTGTGTGTCTTTGATAATGGTGGGGGAAAAGATTACCAGATAGAAATGAAGCTCTTGAGCTCAGGAGAGAATTTGCCACCAAAATATGAGATTATCCATAAATACTACTTTGCAGAGCAGGCCTTATACTGGACGTTCATTGGCCTTTCTATACGGTGATCAAATTTATGAACCATCTCCCACGTAAATACATAGTCACCCTCAAGAGTGTTCATACTCTCTCTGAAATCTTGTAACATGAGACTCAAGTTAAAAAATAACAAAAACAGAATACATGGAAAAATAACAGGAAAGACAGATGAATAGCTTTTGCTAAGCCAGAAAAATAAAATATTTCAGAAAAAAATTAGGATTAGCAATAGTGTTGCCACAGCAAGGCTACAAAGGATGATGACTCAAAACAGATGATTAGGCTAGTGTTTTAGGAAGACCCTTTCTTTTCTTCTTTTCTTTCTTTCTTTTTCTGTTTTCTTTTTGTTTGTTTAGTTTACCATGCTGCCTCCCAAATAATATTCCATAAGCAATCTGACTTTTGGCATGGGGCTGCAGCTGCAGTGTGATGAGTGGTGATGAAGTATTGAGTATCTGTAAGAGCAAAACATCTCAGAAGTATTTGCAGCAATAGAAGAGACAAATGGGTTAAAGAATAGAATTCAGTGTCAGTGGACTAATAATTAAAATATATCAACAGAGCAACATTCTAGAGGACTATGGAAGGAGTGCACTTAACTTCACAGGGAAAGGAAAAGCCTTACAGAAGAGTTAAATATAGATGCTTGTACAAGGGCACAGGAAAACTTGCGAGAGGAAAGTCATGTAATCGTATCTAACTATCTCAGTTTTCTCTGTAAAGAAGGAGGCTCATCATTCTCGTTTCATTAACTACACTGAAGATCAAATGCAACACCAATTTTTCTGTATGGCACCTCACTCCCAATTTAAATGTATTTGCTCTTAATATTATGAGTATTAATGATAAGAAAAGATGTATACACCACCAGTGCTTTCAAATCTTCAGAATTTTTCAGTGCACTAAATATAGATTACAAACTTAATCTGTCAGTATATATCAAAGAGGCTGATAAACTCTGCAATTTCCCTGCCTCAGATAGTGGCTCTGGGAAAATACCCAAGATCCGCATTAGTTATATTGGGTCTATATAAGATGTCAAAGATAAAAAAAAATTCAGATATTAGTTAAAGTTGTAAGGACAGATTTTAATCAGTAATATACTATTGCAATAGGAAAGAAATTCCAGCACGAACAGAACTTAACTTGGATTCGGATGGAAGTGACTCAGTATTTCCGAACGGGATAATAGAAAGGGGGTAAGCAGCAGCCCAGTAGAGTCAGGAAAGTGAAAAATTACAAAAATTAGGAAGGGATATTGG